CTCAGCATATGAATACATGAATACATCTATAGGCTACAGTTATGGTAATACCAACCACGGTAATCCGAATACCTACACAGCCTATGAAAACATGAATACATCTATACAGTTATAGTGATACCAGGTAATCAGAATACCTACAAGGTAAGATAACACGGCCTATGAACACATAAACACAACACCTAGACGATTAAACCCCGCCCTCTTTGTACTGTGACAAGACCTTCTGTTTGTAGAGTGCTTTAAACGGGTGAATACTTTGACATTAAGTTCGAGCCCCAGACTATTCCATAATTTAACCCCGCATACAGACACGCAGAAACTCCTGGTGGTTTTGACCGTAAGTATAGAAAAATTCCCATAGCTCCTCAAACTGTACAACTGTGTGAATAACTTTTGTATATTAGCATGTAATAGGTTGTGAAATGCTTTAAATAAGAGTTGTGCCGTGTTGAATTTGACAAGGTCCTGTATTTTAAATAACTATGATTTGAAAAAAAGTGGATTTGTGTGTTCAAGATATTCAGCCTTACTTACAACATACTTTTTTTTACGGCCGTGAAGTAATTATACTTATTCAAAATAAGTACCTACTCAAGAGAGTATGTGATTTTGGACGCAGCCACTGTTACTGTTTAGGTATCACATCACATCACCTAAAAAAAATCAATGTCTGTAATGTGGCAAAGACAAATTATAGAAAAAGGGATTATTCGACTGCCTTTGTGGTATAACAGTAAACTGCACATAAAAATAAAACAACTGTGCGATTTGTCGATGTCGATAGTGATGTCGATCAAATGGTCTGCTATAAGGGCTTTTTTTGGGGCCAGCAAAGGCTGCAATATGTACCAGACATTTTGGAATTTAATCAAACATAAAAGCTTCACTGTAAAAAAATAAATAGGCCAATAATAATAATTGTAACAAAATTCTACAGTAAAACCCTTAAATGGTCAAATTTGTAAACTGAATTTTTTTTTTTTAGATAAACAGAACAGTGTAATTTTACCACAACATTTTGTAGGCTATATAAAAATACTCACATTATTTTACAGTGAAAGCAAAAAAAAAACAAAAAAACAATTTGGTTATATATATATTTTTTAATTTAAAAATTAATATTTTGTTATCATTAATAAACACTGGGATGTTTATGTTGAAATTTACTATGTTTCTTCCATTATTATAGTAACGTGTTTTGTTTGTGTGTGTGTTTGCGTGTGTGTGTGTTGTCCCCACAAAGATAGTACAACTTGAGATCACCTACATTGAGGGACCAGGCAGTGGTGGGAAATGGATTAATAAACATCCTTAATTATATTTTTTGGAAAATGCAGAAGGTTTTCTGTGATGGATAGATGTAGGTGTATGGGTGTAAGGGGATAGAAAATACTGTCTGTGCAGTGTAATGGGGATAGAAAATACTGTCTGTCTGTAAAATATAGAAATCATTACGCCTATGGAGAGTCGCCTACAAAGATCGCGAAAGAGTGTGTGAGTGTGTGCGTGTGTGTGTGCGCGCGCGTGCGCAACACTGTATTCTGTTCATTAGCCATTGTTGCTCATGAAAAAAACATTTTCATGAACTTCAGTGACCATGGAGGGGCCATTGAGCCTTTAACTGCCAGAGGGGTCCCAGCTGATCACTCAGCCTCCACGTGACCCGTCACTTTACATTCTGTTTGATGAGATGACGTGACAACTCTTCAGACAATTTCATTCATTAACACCATCTTTAAACACAATCTGATATCTTAATCCTTTTACGTATATTGCCGACATCAACATATGTTACTAACAGCCATCGCTATAACCTCAATATAAGATAGACTACATCTTAATCGTATGACAGCTAGAGCGCGCGCGCGCTGCGCGCGCCTTGATACAGCGACGTTTCTTTAAAACGAGTTAAATTAAATATTGAAAGCACGCAAAAAATGAACAAATAGGTAACATTTACATTTTCATAAAGCACAAACAATGAGCACAGCCTTATCCCTTATTGGATATACAGTATTTTCCTCTATAGCAAAATACATACGACTGTAAAATGCATAGCCTACCTTTCATCCAGTCGACCACCTGGCTTGTTGACCACCTGCTTACAGGTTCCATGACCAGAGCCATTGTGGAAGTTTTTGCAGACGGTGCCAAACAAAGGTGCGAAAGAGGCGCTTCAGCACACTCCAGATCCACTCACGCAGATTTCTGCCTGTTTTTCATCCGCTGCATGTTTACCCTGCAATTTCTGCCTTGGTTTTTGAAAAACGAAGCGTTGGTGGTCTTTCAAGTTCAAAGCATTGCTCTGCATTCCTTCGCACTAGTCTTTGTGAGAGAGCTGTCAGAATAGCCTTAGATTTCTCTTGGTCGCGCGGGAGGGTTTATCCTCATTTCTATCATATTCATTCACGATGCGAAGCCTTTAATGTTTCCATTCCTCATATCGAGCCGTAGAAAAAAAACAACGGTGAATTTGCGCGGCTGTTTGCCTCGTCTCAATCTGTTACCAGTAAACAGTAGTCTGCACGCGCACCCCTCGCGCACACTCGTATGACTCGCGCCTCGTCCATTCTTGCCAGTCGTTGGCTCTGGCAAATGAGCCGTCATGAGGGCCAAGCAGCGGAAACATCTCCATAATTGAGCTGTGTGCCAACCAGAGGATTAAACACGCTTACATAAAGATTGGGGCTATTGCTTAACTTTTATTGTTTGGAGATTCATATGAATCATTTACTTTTAAGCCATTAATGATATGTTTTTATATTTAAATGTTTAGATTAATAGTATGTCTTTTAAATGACAATCATCCTTTTTTTTCTTCTTTTTTTACTTCTTACTGTTTTATGAAGAAATTTTATGAAGGAAAAAAATAAGCAATAAAAATAAATGGTGACTGAGACGTCAGTTCCAAACATTCCGTCCCAACCCCCCTCTTTTGTGTTCCATGAGAAAGTCATAAGGGTCTGGAACAACACGAAGGTGAATAAATTATGGAAAATTTTCATTTTTGGATGAATTATCTATTTAATCCAACATGCATACAGAGGAAAGGTGCACACATGCGCACACACACACACACACACACACACACACACACACACACACACACACACACACACACACACACACACACACACACACACACACACACACACACACACACACACACACACACACACACACACACACACACACACACAATATATAAAGGAACATTAATATTTGAAGAGTTCAGATGCAAAAGCCTCTAAGTGCCATTTGAAATTTTCTTCTAGAATGATCATTTTTATCAAGCTTGTATATTTAAGTTCAGTAATTTCACTCAAATGACAATTAATAGGTAATCTTCATTGCCATTTAAGTGAAATTACTGAACTTAAATATACAAGCTTGATAAAAATGATCATTCTAGAAGAAAATTTCAAATGGCACTTAGAGGCTTTTGCATCTGAACTCTTCATTTAGGCTGTCGTAGAATATGCATTCAATTGAATGCATGATTAAAATGGCAAATTCAATAAAAAAATGAATTTTTCAATAAGGTGTTTTAAATGCCTGCTGTCCTCAAAACTGGAATGACCTATTGTCAGGGCTTTGTGCATGATCATTCAAGAGGAAACATGCAACGCCATGGGCTGACTTTCATGCCACCAGCCTGTCCGAATTAAGCCACTTTCTTTTTAAGAAATATGGTGCCAAACAAAGTAAAAAAAAATCATGCATGAGCCAGTTTGGTTAATGTGACTGTTAGTTACAGAGATATTTTTCCTAAAAATGAAAATTCTATCATCATTTACTTACCCCGTTGTTCCAAAAAAGTACTTTCTTTCTTCTGTGGAACATAAAATAATCATTTTGAGAAATGTCACAGTGTATTTTTGTACATAAAAGCTAAATGGTCACCAAAACGATTTGGTTACTAATATTCTTAAAAATATATTTTTGTGCTCTTCAAAATACAAAGTAACAGGGATGTATTTCAGAGTGCTTTATGTTGATTTGACATATCATGGGAACATAAGGGGAGTGTGCACTGCTGACAGATGTTGAGAATGCTTACTGCCGGCAGGGGTGTTGAGGAGAGGCTTTTAAGGGACAAGGGAAGGAGAAGAGATCAAGGTTCAAGAGCTGCTCCATTAAGACTCAGACTCACCCTCTGCAGTTGGATGCTTAAACAACTATAACAAATCTACAGCATATGAGATCAGTGCCTTTCACAGCGGGAATTTAGGCCTTTTAAATACAGAAACAACACAGGGATCAACACAGGATCCTTTACCACAATGGTGTCAAATAGGGTATAAGTCAAGGTTCTTCATCCTTTTTACTCAAATGAGTAGCTAGTGCATAGAAAGTGCACAGAAAGACAGAGCAGGGACTCCCTGTTAATTATAAAAAAAACTTTATAGCTTTTTAAATAAATAATATAAAATATCTATTGTTTAACTTTTTTAACACAAAAAAATTGATCAGAAAAATAATTGGCAGACCCCTGTTGAAGACATCTGGTATCGGTAGATTTAAAAAAAAGAAAAGAAAAAACATGGGGAAGCAAAATAGAAAGGTAAAATTGATTTTTTTTTTCCAAATAAAGGTATAAATACACTAGTACAAGCCAAGAAATAGCCTAACCATAATATTACTTAATGAAATAGGCCTACACATAGGCCTACTGAATAAAGAACACAAATAGCCTATAAACCTAAAGCAAATCCTGAAACACAATGCTCCTAAACACACAACCAGCTCAAAATAGCAGAAGAAAAGCTTGATCTGTTCCCGAGAAACGTAGCAGGTGACAGATGACTAACATTAGTCTACTGCCTCTACGAACACTTACAAAATCTACTTCACTAAATATTCTGTCTCTTTAAGAAAATAAGGAAGTAGGCCTATAACTTCAAACCGAAAGTGATATGGTCAGACACTAGGTGCGCGTTTGATAGATGTTTGTTCGCTGTCGCTGATAAAGTTTAATACGGGCTTGGTGTGTCATACGGGCCCAGAAATTAATTACAGATGGAAATAATTTATGAATGGATAATAATTTAAAGTGAACAAACCGGTTGTATTCGTTTCGTCTGCGGAATTATATGTGAACCAGAGGTGGATCGAGACGATTGCGGACCCAGAAACATTGAAATAAACAAAGGTAACTCATCTGAAGCTCTTATTTGACCACATGGTCATATAAAGTGAAGGTGGGCTACAAAACTTTCTTGTAGCTACCACAGGCTGATCAAATATTGGCTTCTTTTTACAACATTATTAACGTATTTTTTCACACTTTAGACATTGATAAACATAGTACTTATGAGGTCAACGGAAACACTGAGTGGACGAACTGCAACTTGTTTTATTAACTAACAGTTCCTTCTGTAGAAATAACGCCACGTAAAGATTTGGCTTGTGGCGAGTCTTCTAAAACGTACAAAAATAAGCCAAAAGTAAAACAGCGCATTTTAAAGTTCATGTGCGTGTACATTAGTCACATTATGATTATTTCATTGTAAGCACAGAGGCAGTTTATGATTGGCTGTCAGTTGCTAAACAAACAACTCGCTGGCATTCTAGCACCATTGTTTCACACTGCTGTCACTGGCGCCGCAAATTAGTGTTAAACGTTACTTGACCAGGTTTTATAAAGGGATAAACGTGTTACTACTGTAACAAAAAAGACTTTTGTTTTAGCAATGATAAGGCAATATTTGGGCCCTCCCACAGGAAGACACATGGGTCATTCACATGAAAGGCAAATGAATTTTGCAAAATGTGTATCGCTTTTAACAGGGTAAAAACACCTAGCTGCTTCTGACAAGCGGGGGAAACGCTGCAAGTAGGCTACGAGATGGATGACGACGGAGTAGACATGGCGTCAGACAACAGTCTGCCATTAGGAATTGGTGCTTCCGCATTCGGGAGTGAAAATGGGGATGAAGAGGACGACTTCATTCCTCAGAGGACACTTCCATTCACCCTCGGATACTCCGATCCTGTGGGGTAAAATGTTTTTTGGTAATCTGATAATGGTGTGATAGGGTTCAGAAATGAATATCCACGTTGACGTGCATTATTTTAAACGCACGCGCATGCTTGTCTGTTGTGTTAGTGCGACGCTTGCTGGTAAGACCAGGAACGCGCCAGTATTTGTGTAGCCTACTAAGTTTAGTGTTGCTTACCTTGGTTAATTAAATCTCATTTGCTTTCATTTTAATGACTTTTTCATGTTTATATTTACAATGATTCTCACCAGACAATACGTGGAGAGAGCAGAGTCCCCTGCACCCAGTTACGCCTCCATGCAAAGTGACAGCTGGTCAGAAACAAGAGAAGAGCATAAAGAAAGTTGCACACAGTAAGTTTGCTTCTTGAGATGATCTAAGTTCAGAGCTGGTGCCATCTTTTATATATTGTCATCTTTCCTTGCAGAGTTAATATGCATCATAAAGATACAAGCATTTTAAAGAGAGGATCCCAGACAGCAACATAGTGTCGGCCCAGATCCGGCCCACTTCTTGTACACGTGGATTCCACACACGGCCCAGATGTGGGCCGGATCTGGGTCGTCACTGTTGCTGTCTGGGATTTAGACTTTGAGAATAGTGAGATATGTAGCATAGTAGTGAAAATGATACCTAAAATGGGTTGTTTAAAAGGTCAGAGACTTTGCTCTCTTTGTGCTTGTGGCTTAGGTTGTTATTCTTGTAATTCTGGTTGCCCTGGTTAAGATTTTCAACTTTCCACAGGGTTCTGTTGTGCAGAAATGATTCGTCTGCTTCTAGCAATGAATCCTTTAGTAGTGATGAGGACATGAATCCAGAGGGTGATGCTGAAGAAAGGTGAGTGAAAGTCACATAATGCATCTGTATCATTCTGGTCATATATTGGTATACAATTCATAAGTCATATCAGTATAGAGAGATAAAATATTTAAAAAAAAGGAATTGAAATGAAATAAAAATGAATTAATTGAAATTTTAGCCTGGCCTATATAAATTTAACTGATTCATTTATTTACATAGTTATGATGCTTACATTTTCATTAAAACAGTCATTTTTGTTGTACAGATTTATACTTGTACACTTATTTTAATTTTAAAATACATTTTAATGTGGGAGGAAAAATTACACATTTAGCTGAACCTTAGCATTTTAACTTCATTTTTTATTAAAGTTAACAATATTGTATTTTTGTTCACTGCATAGTTTTATATGCATATACTTTATTTAAGTCATTTATAAAATACACTACCATTCAAAAGTTTGGGATCAGTAAATTACATATATATATATATATACTTTTATTCAGGAAATACATGAAATTTACCAAAAGTGACCGTAAAGATATTTACAATATTAAAAAAGATTTCGATTTCAAAGGAATACTGTTCTTTTTATCTTCATGTCTAAAGAAAAACCTGAAATTTTCTGTATATAAGAAAACTGTATAATGGGTTCCACAAAAACATTAAGCAGCACAACTGTTTTCAACATTGATAATAATAAGTAAATATAAATAAATGTTCTGTGAGCAACAAATGAACATAATATGATTTCTCAAGGATCATGTGACACTGAAGACTGGAGTAATGATGAAAATTCAGCTTTACCATCACATAGAATAAATTACATTTAAGATATTTTAAAATAGAAAATAGTTATTATAAATTGTATTTTTTACTGTATTCTTGTTCAAATAACTGTAGCCTTAATAAGCATAATATAATTCTTTCAAAATCATTAAAAAAATCTTACAGACCCCAAACCTTTGAACAGTAGTGTTAGTGTAAATAACTCTGTCTTTTTAAAATAAGCACACGGAAGAAGGTCAGGAAGGAAGGTGGCCTGAAACAACAAAAAGTCCCTGTTCCTGTAAAACCAGAATTGGTAGTAGATCCAAATGAGAAAAGGCATCCAGCGATGACAGTGAAATTTGCTTTTGAGGTAGGCCTACAACCAATCATCATCCATTAAATGCAATTACAATATTACCATTAATTCCCTTTTACAATGAGTTGAGAAAAATATCATTCTGTGCTGCATCTCAGGCCCTCACAATCTGCCTAAAGAAACTTGCACAGGACGAATTAAAGCACTTCAAAAAACTAATGTGGGAACGATATCCAGAGCGCTTCCGTGATCCCCTGGATGGACTTGATATTGTGGATCTGGTGGATAAGATGCTGGAGATCTGTGATATTGAGGTGTCTCTGAAGATCACTCTGGTGCTATTTAATGTCATGAACTTTAAGAAACTGACTGAATATATGCAAGGACTATGCAAAAGAAGTAAGTCATATTATTTGATCCTCGCTAAAGCATTACAGTGCATTTCAAACAGTTGTCTTTAAGTCTTTTTTATTTTGATGTTTCACAGACGAAGTGCGCTACCAGTTGAAATTGGCTCTTAAGAAGAAGTATGAGATGGTGTATGAGGGTTTTAGTCCACAAGGACAGCCAGTTCCCTTTGAATCTGTCTATACAGACCTTTACATTACAGATGGCATTAATGCATCAGTGAACAGCGAGCATGAGTTCAGATCAAAGATAGAAGAGCTCCAAGAGACTGGCAAAGTGAACAGGACACCAATAACCGGAAATGACTTATTTCCCCCTGAGAGTGCGAGGCCAAGGCATATAAGGTCGGTGTTATCCAGAGGAGTCCCAGGAAGTGGCAAATCATTTGCAGTGCAACGCTTCATTCTCGACTGGGCGGATGGAAAAGTCCACCAAGGTGTTTTCTTTCTCATTCCTCTGCAGTTCAAGGAATTGAACAAGATGCTGGAAGGAGAGCATACCCTCCTCTCTCTAATCAGCACCTTCTATCCAGAGATGAAGGAAATAGACACTCTCGAATTTGAGGGCTGCCCAGTAATGTTCATATGCGACGGCCTAGATGACACTCAAATCCGCTTTAACTTCCGGAGAACAGCATATTGGTGTGACGCGTGCAGGCCTACGAGTGTGCAAGTGCTGATTAGTAACCTCGTCAGGGGGAACCTGCTCTATAACGCCTTCGTGTGGGTCATTTCTAGGGCAGGAGCTCTGGATGTGATCCCACCAGAACACGTCCACCAACTTCTGGAGGTTCGTGGCTTTACTGATGACCAGAAAGAGGCCTATTTCAGGAAGACGATCGTAGACCAAGAACTTGCTGAGAGGGTGATCGCTCACATCAAGTCTTCTAAGACGCTGTTTATTATGTGCCACTTGCCGTTGTTCTGCTGGGTGGCATCTAAAGTGCTGCAGCGACAGCTTCAGTCTCTTCCACCATCAGTACAGGTGCCCAAAACTCTTACCAATCTGTACACCATTATGCTGCATCGTCACACTCAAATGTCCGTTCAGAAACTGCAGAATGACCCCACTGAAGAAACCAAAGGTCTTACTGCTGATCAGCTGCTCCTTAAGCTTGCAAAGCTGTCCTACATCATGCTTGAGAAGAACGAGTTTCAGATAGAGAAAGAGCATTGGGACGAGCTTGAATTGCCGGATTCATACCCAGCCATGGCCTGCACCGGTCTCTGCACCGAGTATTACAGAGAGAAGTACATGATTTACACAGAGAAGGTGAGCTGCTTTGCTCATCCGACCATTCAGGAATACCTCGCTGCTCTTCATGTTTTCTTCTGTTTCAAGAAACATGGGAAGAATATCCTTGAGCAGAACAAGCTGAAGGTCTTAAAGGTTTCCTTGACAGACTTACTCAAGAGTGCAGTTGACAAAGCATTGAGCTCTAAGAATAGCAACTTCGATATCTTTCTCCGCTTTCTGCTGGGTTTGTCTGTGGAGGCCAACCAGGAGCTTCTCAAGAACCTCCTTCAGATTTCTACCAGTTCCAGCCAGAATGCACGAGAGGAGACGACACGATACATAACTAAGAAAATCAAAGAAGGCCACTTCCCGGAAAAAACTGAAAACCTTAAGCGGTGCATTGATGAACTTAACCCACAACTGCACTGACGTGTTGGTTAAAAGATGACGAACTTCTGAGAGTGATGCTTTTGCATTGTCTCTTGCCAAAAGATTGAGGTGGTAGAAAAATAATCTGTGACGAATGTCTATCATCCAGGTCTACATTAAGTGTCTTGCTGTGGCATTTGGATGTGTTTTTTCATCATCAGTAAAAGACAAATTGTGTGTCAACTAAAAGAATTGTTCAATCACATTATTTGGAAACTTGTGTTATTGCATTTGGATATTGTTACTGCAGCTTTTGTATTCAATCAATACTGTTTATGGGAATGTTGGTGTTAAAGATTTAAAGTGTGGATAGTATTAAATGGTGTTATTAGGAATTATTCCATATCAAACCCAAACATGCATGAAATATTTGTGGCACTTGTGTCCATAAAATAAAAAAGAAAGACCTGCTCAAAAGTTTTGATGCTGCTTTTTTAAAAATAAATTCTTTATTATTCTCATCTTTAAAAAACTCTCTAGGATGATTTCAACAACATTTAAATCAAGTCAATATTGACAAATGAGAGTATATATATATATACACTCACCGGCCACTTTATTAGGTACACCTGTCCAACTGTTTGTTAACACTTAATTTCTAAGCAGCCAATCACATGGCGGCAGCTCAGTGCATTTAGGCATGTAAACATGGTCAAGACAATCTCCTGCAGTTCAAACCGAGCATCAGTATGGGGAAGAAAGTTGATTTGAGTGACTTTGAACGTGGCATGATTGTTGGTGCCAGAAGGGCTGGTCTGAGTATTTCAGAAACTGCTAATCTACTGGGATTTTCACGCACAACCATCTCTAGGGTTTACAGAGAATGGTCCGAAAAAGAAAAAACATCCAGTGAGCGGCAGTTCTGTGGGCGGAAATGCCTTGTTGATGCCAGAGGTCAGAGGAGAATGGCCAGACTGGTTCGAGCTGATAGAAGGGCAACAGTGACTGAAATAACCACTCGTTACAACCGAGGTATGCAGCAAAGCATTTGTGAAGCCACAACACGCACAACCTTGAGGCGGATGGGCTACAACAGCAGAAGACTCCACCGGGTACCACTCATCTCCACTACAAATAGGAAAAAGAGGCTACAATTTGCAAGAGCTCACCAAAATTGAACAGTTGAAGACTGGAAAAATGTTGCCTGGTTTGATGAGTCTCGATTTCTGTTGAGACATTCAGATGTTAGAGTCAGAATTTGGCGTAAACAGAATGAGAACATGGAACCATCATGCCTTGTTACCACTGTGCAGGCTGGTGGTGGTGGTGTAATGGGGGGGGATGTTTTCCTGGCACACTTTAGGCCCCTTAGTGCCAATTGGGCATCGTTTAAATGCCACGGCCTACCTGAGCATTGTTTCTGACCATGTCCATCCCTTTATGGCCACCATGTACCCATCCTCTGATGGCTACTTCCACCATGTCACAAAGCTCTAATCATTTCAAATTGGTTTCTTGAACATGACAATGAGTTCACTGTACTAAAATGGCCTCCACAGTCACCAGATCTCAACCCAATAGAGCATCTTTGGGATGTGGTGGAACGGGAGATTCGCATCATGGATGTGCAGCCGACAAATCTGCGGCAACTGTGTGATGCCATCATGTCAATATGGACCAAACTCCCTGAGGAATGCTTCCAGCACCTTGTTGAATCTATGCCACGAAGAATTGAGGCAGTTCTGAAGGCAAAAGGGGGTCCAACCCGTTACTAGCATGGGGTACCTAATAAAGTGGCCGGTGAGTGTATATATAAATACACAGTAATTTCAAAGAATTAAAAATGTATTCATCAGAATAGTTTTATAACTTAAATGTTGAATTTGAAATTTTAGATGTTTCAAAAAATCATCTTAATCAAATCAATAAAGACAAATGAGTAATTATTATTATATAGTAAGCAAATATTCATCCTAATTTAGGTTTAAAAAATTATTTTAAATTCACTTTTAAATGTTATAAATTAACATCCACATGTAAAAAAAAAAAAAAAAAAAAATACCTGGTTTCACAGACGGGGCTTAGATTAAGCCAGAATTAGGCCTTAGTTCAATTAGGATATTTAAGTAGCTTTTATAAATGTGTCCTAGAAAAAAAACTTCACAAATGTGCATCAAACATTGGTCTAGGAACTAGGCTTATACCCTTCTCTGTGAAACCAGGTGACTGTGTGTTAAAATAATACTAGAACATCATGTTTTAGTCCTGGGTTACACCGCTGTGTGTCAAATGCTGACACTGTTGCTGATCGTATCAGGGCACATGTACGTGTAAGGCACTTGCAGCCCTGTGTTTCTGTCTTTGATGGACTCACTCAAAAAGGACAGCGCTGCTTGATAATCTCTGATCATTTTCTGGGGAGCCTGGCAAAAGTAGTCCTCAGGGTATTGCCCAAGTGAAACCTGCATAAAAGATTAGAACGGATTTGTACACTGTAAAATAAATCTGTAGAAATTACAGTATTACTGGCAGCTGGTTGCCAGTAACTTACTGTAGTTTTAAATTGATGTTATTTACTGGCAACAGTTTGTTCAAAGTTAAATGAACATTAAACATTAACAAGTCTTTATCTTTACAGAATAAAACTAAAATAACAGCCTCATGCAAAGCATTATGGGAACCAAAATCTGAAGGAAAAAAACAGAAAAAGGTTGATGAAGATTTCTGGTTCCCAGAATGCTTTGCATTAGATTGTTATTTTATAATTTTATTCTGTAAAGACAAAGACTTGTTAATGTTTAATGTTCATTTAACTTTGAACAAACTGTTGCCAGTAAATATACATCAATTTAAATCTACAGTAAGTTACTGGCAAACAGCTGCATAATTACAGCAATTTTTTTACAGTGTAGGGATTTGTGATTATTAACAACAAATGAGATAATCCAATCAGTTGAGTAGGAAACTCTCACTAAATCTGATGAAGGTTTGCTCAACAGCCAAAAGACTGATACTAGATATGCAGAGGTCATGTCAGGCAGAGTGTCCAGTAGGGTGTTTTTGTCTGAGCTTCCCTTAGATGAAGGAGGAGGTCTTTTTAGAGAGCCAGGGGCGTTGGGAAACCAACTTCCATAGTCAAACTAAGTTAAAAAAAATGTTTTTAGATCATTACACACACAGACACAAAGTAGAATAATTTTCAGTTTATTTTAAACTTACTAGTCCTGCTCTGAGGGCAGAATGTTGAGCTGAAACTGTGAAGACCACCATGGTTACAAATGTAATTACCTCCTCCACTGTACTAAAACACTGAGGTATTCCTAAATTAGATGAAAAGGAAGATTGATGATGAATAATATAATGACATCACACAGCTATGGCAATATCACTTTACTTACCTGTGCTGCTCTTCTCAAGAAACCCACGAATGAAGATCTCCTTGATCCAGTCCTGGAGTTCAGTGTCCCGCTGTACATCACTGTCACTCTTGTAATAAAACTCCACCATGCTCCTTACAAAACTAGAGATCGATACCAAAATCACCACAAAGTCATCTGATTTGTATTTGGCACACTGAAGAATGCTTTCAATATGCCATGAAAGAAACGTAATTATGCAAAAATTACTCATTTATGATGCCCCAGATCTGAAGTCCATCATCTCTGTAGAAGAAGTTGGGAATAGATTCCAGACCACGGTCACTGATGTCTTCAAGCAGGCAGAGAGAGCTGTAGGTCAGGTCTGAGAGCGCCTTCTTCATGAGATCGGTCATCCCTTCATCTCCAATACTGGTATTCTGAAGTGATAATGATTTGCAAGTAATTGAGGTCATTAAAAATAAATGAAAATGAAAATATCCTAAGTCAATACCTGAGTGACAGCACCCTTAGGACCTATAAGTCTGTCCCGAATAAGGGTATTTATCTGGAGGGTTTAACGTGTGTGTGGCATCAGCAACTATGAGAGAATCACAAATATGAAAATGAGTCATGATGATTTTAAAGAGGACCAATTATGTTTTTTTACATTTTCAACTTTTTTTAGTGTGTAATGTTGCTGTTTGAGTGGTAATGGTAAGGGGCGTGAAATTTCCGAAACACGTTCAAAGTTGTTGACCAATCAGAATACACTGGCCGACCGTTTCGGAAGGAGTGGCTTCAGAGACACAGGAACGAAACAGAGATTTCTTTGGTCCAAGAGTGTTAATACTCAGAAGTATTAAAAAAGGTCCTATAAACAAATGAGCTGCACCTGACAGTATCTTGAGTACCTTATGAATTGGGTGAGCTGCCGAGAGGTTCCTTAGTAATGACACTGTAAAGGTATCAGTTAACAGATGGGTGCGCAGAATCAGATAGAAAGATGCCTGATGCTCAAGACAGTCTGCGTTCCTCACATAGAGTTTGGCAAGCTGCCAATCATACTCGCAGTCGCTAGGCAGGAAAACTGGATTGTTGTCTGACGCCTGTTGCTGCAACTGACACAGCAATGACAGACCAAATGGGAATCACAGTTAATCATTTGCTGTAAAATTAACAATACATACTCAGCAAGGTTAAGAAAGCATAAACAATGTTCAAGGTTGGTTTATTATTTTGTTTATCTTACTGCATGTCTGTCACACTAAAACAAAAAAATGTCTTGTTTCCAAGAGAAAATGTTTAAACATCCTTTGTGTAAAAAAAAAATCAGTGGGCTAAGAAAAATAAACTTTAGTCATATATACTTTTCAAATAAAATGTATCTTGTTTTAGGGAAGTTTAAAAATACTGATTAAAGGTAGGGTATGGGATTTGCAAAACGGCCGGCAGATTTTGAAAATACACAACTCCTCCAACGCTGGCCCTGACTCCACCCATTCAAAAAACATGGATGCGCAATCATGCATCTCCAAAACTCAGATGTGCGAGATTGCACTTACTCTCTCTCTCTGTACCGGGGCGACTTGCACTTACTGTGACTGGGTCACGAGGTTTGAGTATGCGCACGAAGGGCACACGCGCGCGAGGGGGGTGGGGGTATGGTACGACCGTTTGATTGATGCACTTACAGTCCAATGATTCTAGGTGGTCTTGGAAGTGATTGGCTGGAGTTTTTCGAGTCCTGCCCGTTCCGCAGATGATTAAATTGCTTAATTTTTTATTTCAGTGCTTCTATCTCAGTGGCTGTAAGTGGGTTAGGAATAGGATTTCAAGTGATTTTGAAAAAATGGTCAAAAAAGAAAATCACATACCCCACCTTTAAGAAAATCTTATTTTATTTCGTTAAGTTTTCTTCAGGGAATTCCTGTTTGTCGTCGTATGTTTTTTTTTTTAACCATATATATATATATATATATATATATATATATATATATATAAAAGGGTGATAAGATGCCAGAATGAATACACATATTTTAAGATTTGGTCCAGTCCATTCTGGTACATTACCTGAATAGCAATAGGCAGAAGTTTGCCCATTTGGTTCTTGTACAGCAGACACAGTGGAGCCGCAACATACTGCTGCTTCCCATTGATGACTTGAGCCGGTAAATCTGCCCGTCTTTTATAGTCACATAAGAATATGTTTCCTTGCTGTTGGGTAAAAAAATAAAAATAATGATAGCTTGTGTTGAGACATAACATTCATATTGAGAAAGCAAGAGAGCAAATTTGATATTGTTTTACCTTCATCTCTTGAGTAAGAGAAGTTCCACTCCCTAGAAAAAGCTGCATCATACCATCATTAACAGCAAAGTTCAGAGGAAGCTCAGTGCATCGACGGAGCATCATTGGATTTGGGCCATTTAGAAGCTGGTATCCAAAAAAATCATCATCCATCCAGTGCAGCAGCACATATTCTATTAAAAAAAGGATTGCAACGACAAAACTGACAGATTATTTCAGTTTTACTGCACTCGGCATCTGATGTCAACATATCTGTGTAACAGATCACTTTAGCAGCTATCATACCAGAGATAGTGGTTCTGGATGACCAAAAGGCACTCTTCATGTCTTCCATTTGAACCCACTGATCAGGTTTTTTTTACCAGTTTCTTTATTTTGATCTCACTAAGCCTGGAAGATAAATGCATCATTGATGTAAAGAAGTGACCAGGCAAGATATATACCTATAATAATAATAATAATAATAATAATACAAACCCATTTCCAGAAAAGTTGGGACATTTTGTAAAATGCAAGAAAATCAAGAATCTATTTTGTTGATTCACTTTCAACTTTATTTATCTGACAAAAGCACAAAGAGAAGATTTTCAATGTTTTCACTGACCAACTTAATTGTTTGTTTTTTGTAAATATATATCTTTTTTTAATTTTGATGGCTGAAACACTCCAAAAATGTTGGGACAAAAGGAAAATAAAAGTGAAAAGATTATAAAATATCCAAGTTTAACTGTTTTAAAACAGTCCACAGTGAGCAGGTGAATTGGTAATAGGTGAGGGTATCATATTTGTGTGTAAAAGTGGCATCCACCAAAGGCTCAGTCTTTGCAAGCAAAGATAGATCACGGCTTGCCACTTAGTGAGAAATGTCCAACAATTCAAAAATCACATTTCTCAGTTGAAGATGGCAAAGTATTTAGGTCTTTCACCAACTAATATTGTGAAAAGATTCAGGGAATCAAGAGAAATCTCAGTCTGTCAAGTCAAGGCAGGAGACCTCTGTTGAATGTGTGTGACCTTCGAGCCCTCCCATGGCATTGCATGAGAGACCATCATGATACAGTGTTAAATATAGCCACATGTGCTCTGGAGTACTTTAAAAATAAAATTGTAATTTCCTGCGAGTTCTCTGGGCCCAATCTAGTCTCAGATGGTCCAAAAGACAGTGGAAATGTGTGTGGTGGTCAGATGAGTCCACGTTTCAGATTGAATTTGGAAAAAATGGACATTGAGTTCTCAGTCCCAAAGACGTAAGGGACCATCCAGACTTTCATCAGTGACAGGTAAAAAAAAAAAAAAAAAGCAAACATCTGTCATGGTATGGGGGTGCATCAGTGCAAACGGCATGGTTGACTTGCATATGTGTGAAGGTATTGGTGTGGAGGTGTACATTGGGATTGTACAGACATACTGCCATCAAGATGACATCTTTCCTAGGTGGTTATTACCGCAAGACAATCCCAGGCATCATTCTGCACGTGCCACAACAGAGTAGACACTCTACACCTGCAGTCCAGACCTGTCTCCTACTGAAAATGTATGGCCCATCATGAAAAGGAGAATCAGACAATGATGACCAAGACTGTTGAGCAGCTGTCTTGTATCAAGTGAGATTAGGCAAAAATTCCACAACCAAAACTGCAACTACAATCCTCAATTCCCAAACGATTAAAAAGTGTAATTAAAAGGAAACGTGATGTGACACAGTGGTAGCATGCCTCTGCCCCAACTTTTTTGGAGTGTGATGCAGCCATTAAAATTTTAAGTTGGTCAGTAAAAACATTGGAAATCTTCTTCTTTGTACTTTTGTCACTTACGAGAAAAGAGAATTAACAAATCACAGATTCGTGATTTTTTTTGCATTTTACAAAATGTCCCAACTTTCCTCGAAAACAGGGTTGTAGGTTAGGAGGAACCTTACGCAGTTGAGCAGTTGAAAGCTGAATCCATGTCTTTAGTGAAAGAGAAGGGGACCACTGAGGGAAGAGACAGGGGCTCCTGAAAACACGTACACTGTGGGAGACCCGTTTTAAACTCAGTCCACCTTGAGGAAAAGCAAAGATACACAAACACATGTAACAATGAGGAGGGCACAAAATTATTGCTAAGACAAATCTTGGTCGTGCAAACTTACTGGTGCATTTGTTTGTTATGCTTCATCTCATTTATTCACAAATATTTTGTGAATAATTTTCGTCATAGATTTTTGTAGCTGTCAGACATTATAAAAGTAACAGAAAGTTACTGAAGTCAAGTTCGACAGAAAATCCCAGTCAGAATAGACATACATTACAGTTTAAAAGTTTGCGGTCAGGAAGATTTTTTAAATGTTTTTGAAGGAAGTCTCTAATGCTCACCAAGGCTGCATTTATTTGAACAAAAAAGCTCAAAAGAACAACATTTATTGCTGCTTACAACAATGATAACAATGACATTTATCAATAATAGATATATATGCAAACCTTTGGCCTCTCGCAGCTCAATCACTTCCCCCTCTGCCATCCAGCGAAAGCATGGGAAATGGATCACATCCTTCTCGGGGGTTCTTACTTTTACCAGAGAGCAGAACCAGTCATTCTCTGGCAAGAACATGAAATTATCTTTCTCAAGTCTGATAAGCAGCAGGTAGCCGACGGTGAACCTGGTTGTCACTTTGTACTTTACTTGCTAGGTAAAACAAACAAACAAAAACAATACTACAGTTAGAGAAGCTGATGGCTCATTTCAGTCAGATATTTCCTGTGCACATTTTAATTGCTTTAAATTGAAAATTTTAAATACATATATCTCACCATCCCAGTTTTAAAATCTCTTCCAAAGCTGTCAAGCTTGGTCCGCTGACTCTCTCCATGTGTGCCAATTAGAGTAATGAATATTTTGTCAAAAGTGCCCGCGTGGGTCATGGAGCCTGTGGTAACCTCTACTTCATATATGGCCTCCATGGCTCTGAAAAGGAATACAGAGGTGTTGTACTTGCTCTTGATTTTTAATCAAAATCATATTCTTATCCAGTAGGCACTATTTGTTTTACATTACAATATCTTAGTCTAAAATAGCCTAAAAATGTCCACAATGCTTATACATTTTACATTTAGGTAGTTCGCACAAAAAAAAAAAAAAAAAGTCATAGAATTTCCTACTCACCTTTATGTCGTCCAACCCATAGGTTCAAACCTGTCTTCAAAAATGACTTCCTTTTTCTGTGGTTAATGACATAAGGGTAAAAACATAAGGGTAAAAAAATTATAAAAATGTTCATTGTTGTTTGAACAAACCATTTAACAATAAAAATGTAAATGTAAAGAAAAAATCGAATTTGCTTTTATTCTGTTTTACACAGGACGAGAGCAGCAAACAGCGTCGCGTCGACTACAATAGACGATGCGTCGGCGTGGATTATAAGCATAAACTTCACTAAATGTAATTCAGTGTAAAATTACAGTATATAATATATATATATATATATATTAGCATACCTTTCAAAGAAAACATACCTGAGGTAAATGTGCAAGCAGAGGCTGAGAGACTGTTGAAAGTCATATGAGGAAAACCTAAAGCCCAGTAGCAGGACCCTGCCAAACTGGATTGTGGTTCTCCAACAGCGAAAAGCTCAGGCTCAGGCAAATCGAGCTGCAGGTGAAACTAAAATAATACCGGTTGTAGCCTACCATAAAAGGACATTCCTGCAGTGTTTATTTCCCAATCATTGACTTATGCCCAATTTAAAAAAAAAAAAACATTACATGTAGGCCTAGGTGTTTTAGTTGTGCCTGGTTTAAATGTTTTACAAATTCTTTACAACAGGAACTGTTTTCTGTTTTTGTTTCTTTGAACCCTACTTCTTGGAATTCAATTTGTGAATCATTGTTTGTATAGCATGTTAGGCTATACCAAACATGCAGACTGCAGTTTGTTTGTATGAGATTGTAAGGGGTATACAGTCAAAGACCCAGAACCAGATATGAAGAATGAAGACCCGGAGTCAGAATTATAAAAAATGTAAGAAAAGTTTTACTGAAGATAGTTTGCAGTTTCATCAGCAGAAGTCAGCTTCAAGACTCACACAGGAGTTCGTAGGCCGCCTGCCTTACAGTTACAAAGATCACAGCAGTTATACCATTTCCAAGGTCTAAGCTACGTCATTGCTTACAGGTTGAATGATTCTCATTGGCTAAGAAACATTAAGAGCCTAAACAATTTAACACATGTGAGGAGATAGGGGTGCCTATCGCCATTAGTCAAGATAGTTGTCGTCCACTCATTAGATTTAGGTCTGTGGTGGCCTCGCAGGTTAGAGAAGGGCGCCGGGGTGTCTGGTCCGAACGTCCAGAACCTACATAGAATGTCATACGCACACACACACAAATAACAGACACTAGCAAATAACAGCTCCCATCAAGGCTGAAGAGAGTCTGAGCTCCTTATTATCAGTTAAGTATACCAAAACATAATGCTAAAACATTCACTCATTTGGGAGAAAAACAGATCACTGGCATTTACTCCCAAGGAAGGAAATATACTGGAAAGAATACATTTTAATACAACAATTAAAGTTTGATTGTAACGCTCAATATAGCTTGACCATATGTCCAGCGAAGAATCATATGTGCCCACGCTGCCTTTAGGACCCTCTACTGATACCAGAGAAAGAGACAAACGGCCTTGTGGGTTACTTGGCCTTCGTGTCCTGCGTGTACTACGTGCAATCTCAAAGTAAGATTGGAATGCACCTAAAATAAACGGGTTACTTACATCACATGCATTTAAGAAAATATAATTTCACAAGCACAAAGAATATAAAAATTATTATGTGATAATGAATATATTTGATTATTGATTTTTATAAAGGATGTATATAACCATTCAAAAGGATATATGATTATAGATGTATTTGAAGAGGCAAGGGATTTTGACCAACCCTTCAAGATAAACCAACTCATAATCATCCTTGATCCTTCAATAATAGTTTCTTACATCAGGAAATAGTACCAGCAAAGACCAACAGCGACCAAAAACTCCTTTTATTTTTGTCAGAGTATTGAACGACATAATGTAGGATCAGCTCACAGTTGGGTGGAATATCTGTACGAATTAAGCTTGACCATCATGATTGACATTTCAAATCAAGTTTATTTGTTATTACAGTCATGAAGATATATCCAGTTATACGCAGTCATAGTAATTATTGTTTCTTCTTTACGACATGTGCACAGTCATATTTGCCCCTGACCACCTTGAGTTTGACCCCTGGTAAGTCCTGTGTCCTCCCTCCTTTCACAAGAACCACATTGTGCTCCTGGAGGTTGTGTCCTTCCCCTGGGATGTACACAACAGCTTCTTGACCATTGGACAGACGTACTCGTGCACACTTGCGGTTTGCTGAGTTGGGCTTCTTGGGTTTCCTGATCATGGTCTTCAGAACTACAGCTTTAAGCTGTGGATGTCCAAAAGTGGCACTGATCTTTGGACGAGGTGGGGGAGGTTTGCCCTTACGGTGCATCTGATTGAGAGTGGCCATGGTTCTGGTGAAGACTGGTCCAGACCAGAAAGGTACAGATTGCGATGCTGACAAAATAATATAGTAGAAGGTGGCATCATTCATTTTAATTACTTACTTTAAAACCATTTCAATTATTTACTTTAAAAGTTTATCAAATGATGCTGCAAAGACTCACCCTGCAAAACAGACGAGAGCATTGGTCTCAGACTTCCAAGAAAAGACATTCTTAATTCATCTGTATGAACAACTGCAAAATCGAATCATACGATGTGTATCATCATCTCAGTTTAACCGTGGAACATAGTGAAACACACTGTGACAGTGTAAAATTATTATTTTTATGTTTAATTTACCTGTATGTACGTTGCGTTCGAATAAAGTAGCGGACGTTTCTTAAGTGCTGACTTTAGTTTTCAGTCAGAAGAGGAAAGAGGACGAATTATTTCACCCTAACACAGTTATGTTAGCGACATGCACGTCGCCATGTTGAAAATACGTCATCGACCCGGAGGAATCTTCCTCGATCCCAGACCAGTTACGAGCTCTATACTGAACCGCCTAATACTGCCATCTAGTGGGTGGGTTTTCACGTTTCCATGTCGTAAATCGGCCAATAATCGCAATATACAGTAGCGATTGTTAAATATTTTTTTATTTAGAATTACATTAAGAAATGCAATTAATACAAAACGGCTTAATTAATACACGATTTATATCATGAACACGTCTAATATTATTAATTATAAGCTATTTGTACTATATTTGAGGGGTTCAAAGTTAAAAAAAAATGTCTGTGGTGTTTCAGGTTGATGTCAGGTTGGAAAATCAGGTTGATGTCAGAATCCAACGTCAATCGGGCTCTGACGTCAATCCGACTTTCATTTCCAACCAAAGTGCAACCCCTGCAACTAAAATCATCCCCTGACTGACGTTACTACTTTCTACTCAAGGACCTTGACAGATATGTAGGGGAGTTTTTGTCTTTCAAATCTAGTGAAGTTAAAGTAAAAGGTTTCCAGAAAAAATTATGCTCAAGTAAAGTACAGATAGGCTACTCAAAAAGTGTAGCCTACTTAAGTACAGTAGGCAATGTACCCTACTTTGATACTGTCCACCTCTGCAAACGAACTAACACCTTGTTGTTGACACTCGTCCATTCAGACTGCACAATTATGTGAAATATCACTGAGAATCACAATTTTAAATTGCCTATTTTGTTTGTTTTTGAAAAAGAAGCATTTTTAACTGTATTTAATGTGCACTTGTCAATAAAATCCTTGATTGAAAATGGCCTAATACTGCCTACTAATACAAACATAAAAAAGCCTAATACTGTTGATGAAATAAAAGGCCACTTTACTTAAAGAGGCCTAAACTTTCATGTTTCTTAACACACTTGAGGGCAAAATTTTAATATTCAGTGGTGTCCGTCAACATTACATTCATTTCACACTTAAACTGGTCTATAACATTTTAAAGTAGGCTATGTGAGCAATAAGCAGGCTACTCTTTTTCTTTTCTTTTCTTTTGCTAATGTGTAGGCTACTTCTTTTTCACACTGACAACCAAAACATAAAAAAAAAATGTGTGTATATTATTATGTAACTATTATTCTAACTATACTATTATGTAAGCTTATGTTTAATATAAATATATTTGTTTTATTCATCAAAATGAGCATTTTTCAGAAATGAAAAGAGAGAGTTTTAGAGAATAATTTGTTTTTTTGTCTGAGGTTAAATTTGCTGAAGAGAGAAACAGAGACATAATTAAAGCATTCTGTACTATTCCCAATAATGACCACTGAACGTCAGCATTGAGCAGTCTTTACAGCAGATAGTACTGACAATTCAAAAAAGAGAGACATTAAATAAAACTTGTTGATGCAATGCAGGCCATCGTGAAAGGTGGACAACGGAGAATAATAATAATAATTTGTTACATTTCTCGGCACTCAACGCGCTGTGGAAGGGAGGAATCTCCTCAACCTCCACCAATGTGCCGCATCCAATGATGTGACATCAGCCATATTGGTGGAGAGGAGACAGAGTCATGAAGCCAATCAGTGTATATAGGGATGATTAGAAGGCCATGATGATGGACAGAGGCCAATGGGCTTATTTAAGGACCTCGATTTAATCTCATCCAAAGGATGGTGCTTTTTGACAGTATAGTGTCCCCCGCGTTAGGACCCACACAGACCACAGGGATAGCACCCCTACTGGCCTCACTAGATCTCTTCCAGCAGCAACTTAGTTTTCCCAGGAGGTCTCCCATCCAGGTACTGTCCAGCTTCAGTGGGTGGGCTATAGGGTGATATGGCTGCTGCTGGCTATGAACATATGCCTGGGGATGAGGAAGCTGCTAAAGCTGCAATAACTTTTTATTCATTTTTTATTTATTTTTATTTTAAAGCTTTTTGTTTTGTTTACTTTGCTAAATTTCGGACAATATAGTTTATTAGTTGAGAAAATGGTTCTTTCTGACGTTGCACCATGGCATTAGAGCTTATGTTTTGTTCCTCTTTGAATAGTATACACAATGTAGGTGGTTGTTTTCATCGTA